TACCCAGGTGCTCTAATTTTGCCCTGGGGGCTGTGGCTGATTTTGAACTAGGGTAGAAGTGAGATCAGAATGGAATGTCAGATATGTCTACATATTCTAGTTTATGTGACCTAGAGAGAGTAGGGGTTACTCGCTGGTTGAGTATTGAACTTTTCCCAGTTTCAAAAGGAAATAGGAAAAGGAAAAGGCCTGTGCATGGAAAGTCCCCTGGAGTTTATGGGATTGCAGTGTCGGAGGAGAGCAGAAGCCTTTGTCCAGATCAAGCTTGTTCCACAGCTGGGTCCCACTTAAGTCATGACTCAGGAATTGGGCAGTATTGTTGGGATCTTAGCAGTCAGTCTTGAGATTTTAAAGAGACCACTCTTGTCTATAGAAACTCTGCTTGCATTGAGTTCAGAGGAGCCCCTGAGGCTGAGGTCAGACTGCCCTAGCTGGCCAGACTGGTTTATAGCTGGAATACACAGCCTGAGGGGCCTCCAGTTTCCTCCAGCAGCTGTCTTCTTCCTGGAGCCTGCCTTGCCCTGTCACTGTGGGTGACAGCTTTCCTGTAGTGTGCACTGGGAGGGGATCTATCTGGAGAAGGGTTGGGGGCTGGTTGCAGGCCTTGGGTGCTGTTCTGTGGTCTCAGCTCTGGACATGCTTAGCTGGCTGAGTCGGCTCTGGCTTCTGTCCTTCCGGTAGGAGCCAAAGGCTTTATTTCTTCCCTATCATGACTCTGAACATTCCGTACATGCTTTTTCTGTTAGAAAGACATTCCCTACGTGCTTATTCCTTTTAAAAGGAAAAACAAATATTAAAAAAAAATTAAAGTCTGTGAATGCAAAAGGGAAAGATATGTTTTAGTAATTGTGCCATATGGTTGCATGCCATCATGTAAAGTTTTTGTTGTTATTTGTCTTGTTTTATTTATTTATTTATTTATTTATTTATTTATTTATTTATTTATTTATTTATTTTTTGGTTTTTTGAGACAGGGTTTCTCTGTGTAGTCCTAGCTGTCCTGGAACTCACTCTGTAGACTCAGAAATCCACCTGCCTCTGCCTCCCAAGTGCTAGGATTAAAGGCGTGTGCCACCACTGCCCGGCTATTGTTTTATCTTTGTTTGTTTGTTTGTTTGTTTGTTTGTTTGTTTTGAGACAGGGCTTCTCTGTGACCCTGGCTCTCTGGAAACTCACTTTATAGACCAGATTGGTCTTAAACTCTCGAGATGCACTTGCCTCTGCCTCTTGAATGGGATTAAAGGTATGAGCTACCACACCCTACTAACAAGGAGGGGGTTAAGAGTTCATCTGGAAGCATGGTGACACTGTGGCTTGTTAGCGAAGGTACAGTCCATGGAAGCTCTGGGTAGCAGACGCTAAAGCCCCCTTCTCTGCTTATCAGCTTGACTTCCTTTAGTTCAGGAAGGATCATCTTCTTGGATCCTTGTCCTCTTTTCCACCCTTTCTCTAGCAGAAGCACATTTTGTCTAGCTGCAAACTGGACTTAAAATCATGTACTTAAAAAGCTTTTAATGGCTTGTCATTGTTATTGGGTGCCTGCTGTATATAGGCTCACAGTGAGTGTTTATTGAATTTCTAAATGAATGGTTTATATCCTGGCCCTCTCCAGCTGAACTTTAGAGTCTGAGTCCTTTTGCCCTGAGCATGCCCCTGGCTTGGGTAACAGGAGAAGCAGTCAGCCAGTGCAGGTTTGAATCATTAGGAAGTTTTGGAATGATTGGATTCTTCCAGAAGCTTTATCTCTGCAGATGATTCAAATTTCATGTCTCATAACTGCATAACCATTAGCCAGTCTGGTCCTGGGATAAGAATTGATCCTTTCCCACTTCCTTACTGAGGGAACTGCTGTTTTTGCTTTATGATGGAGTTTAAAGGTCACCTCTTCCAGGAAGCATGCAGTGTCCCCTAGCAACTTCTAAGAATGAACTGCAGAAGCATCATGTCCCTGCAGGGCTGCAAGTCCACTCAAGAATATGAACAGATTAGATGCAAATATCCCAGGTGAGCCCGTAGCTTAGAGTGCAATAGGAGACATTGATAGTGCAGTCTTCTGAAGGGGCAACTGTCCTTTGATGAGTACTTCCTATTCTTGCTATGTCCTACTCTTGCTAAGAAAGATGTGAAGCCTGGGCTGGGTGATAGCACCAGAGTACAACCCTTTCTGGAAGCACATGAGGACCTGGGTTTACTCTTCAATATCTCCACTATACCAAGGGGGGGGGGAATAAGATGAGGGAGCTTTTAAAAAAAAAAATATATATATATATATATATTCTCTTGATTTCTGCTGGGTGTGGCAGCACCGGGGAGGCAGAGAGAGGAAGATCCTAAGTTCGAGGTTAGCTAGGGATGAACAGTGTGAGACTCAGTATTGGTTACTCTTTTTCATTGCCTCAGTCAAAAAACCTGATGAAAGTACATTCATGGGGGAAGGGTGGTTTGGGGTTAAGTTGGAGAGGATGCAGCTGTGGGAATGTCACTGCAGCAGGAGCATGAGGCAGCTGGTCACACTGCATCTGTAGTCAGGAAACAGAGAGATGGATGCTGGTACTCACCTCCCTTTCCCTTTTTTATTAAGTCCAAGACTTCCGCTGGTTGGAATGGTGTCGTCCACATTCAGGGTTGACTTTCCATCTCGGCTAACCCAGTCTGGAAACTCCTTCCTAGACTTTGCCAGAGGTCTCTCACCTAGATGCTTCTAGATCCTGTCAAGCGCCCCACATGAAATGAGATATAACAAACCCTCCTCTGATTTCAAGTATGTTTGATTCAAATTTTAAGGGAAGTCACAGGTCAAATGAACAACTGTTTCAGGCCAGTAGATTGCAGCCTTCAGGTTACAGAGGTCCCTTTACGTTGACATAGTTCCTGCCGGGACATGACTCTCTCTGTATCCCCAGAACCCTTCAGCTAACAGCTCTCATGGTGGGCATGCCATACTTGGGTGGCTGTGGACTGGAATGTGATTTTGGTTCAGCAGCTCCTGACACAGAGTTAACAGATCTTCCTTTAGAGTTATTTGCCTAGAATTGAGCCACTCCTTCAATTTCCTCCAAACTTCCAGGCCATGCAGAACTGGAAAGGCCACCACTTCCTACATTCTGCATAGCCCTGTTCATTTCCCTTCCCTCTCTGCTTTCTCAACACATGCTGGTTCTCTGTTCCTGTTGCGTGGGTTATCATGAGTTTCCCAATGGCTCTGTGACCTTTCCCTTGCTGGCTGCTTAGCCACTGAGGATTTCACCCGAGGATCAGAATGACTGTCACATTTCTCTCCACAGACAGGAAGAGAATATATAGCAGGATTGCTTGAGGATGAAAACCAACCTGTTATCCTGAGGAGAATAGCCATATGTCATTTTATGCAGTTTTTTTGTTTGTTTGTTTTTTTATCATCTACTGTTTTATGGAGCTTTTTACCATCTTCCTGTGAGTTGTAAGAGGAAATTGGATAGGGACACAAAAGAGAGCAGAGCTTGACATGGACCTGGAGGTATTCAAGATTGTCAGGGGGATAGTAAAGAGGAATCTGGACAGTTCCTGGAAGGTCCAGCCTTTGTCCTTGAGAAAGGTGGAGTGAGAGAAAGGGCAAAGAGGAGGAAATTGTGTCATTAACACAGTCACAAGCTGGGGGCTGCTGAGGCAGCTCAGCAGTCAAGAATGTTTGGTGTTCTTATAGAAGACCAAAGTCCTGCCGGAAACACCCACATCTGGCATCTTAAAATTGCAAGTGCCTCCAGCTTTAGGAGTGTCCAATACCCTCTTCTGGCCTCAGTGCATATAATATACATTCACACAGATGCACACGTGTACACACGAATGAAAAGTAAAAAATAAACCTGAAGAGAGATAATCACAATCTGCCTTCACTTTGGTTTGCTAACAACTCTAACAAAACATTCTAACAAAGCATTCAGATGTTAATCCCGTTTGCTAGTATTTTTCCACTCTCACAAATGGTTGAGACCACAGTCCCTGTGGTGTAAACCTGAAAGCTAAGATATTTGGGAAATGAGGCAGGAAGAGTTTGAGACCAGCCTTGGCTACTGGGTGAGCTCAGGGCCAACTTGAGTATCATAGCAACAGTCTATTTCCTGTTACCTTAGCCTCCTCACTCATCCTCTCTTTTCTTCTGCTCATTCTTTTCTGTATAGTACAATTCCATGACTTTGAGTACATTCATTGCACAATCTTCCCTATTAACTATTACTAGAACCTTCTTCATTATCTCAAACCGAAAGTCTATCCATTAAAAACTTTCACTTCCCCGCCGGCTGTGGAAATTGCCGTTCAACTTTGAGTCTAGGAGTCTGGCTACTTACTCTCTTATACTATCTCTGTGAAATCACTTAGCATTTGTAAGTGATTGGCTTTCTTCACTTAGCACAGTGTGCTCAATGGTCTCACCTATCCGGTAGCATTTACCTTGCATTGATTCTGTGTGGAGACTGCCCAAGTATTTTGTTGTGTGTATGTAGCACAGTCCTTTACTCATCTGTTGATGTGTGTTTGGCTTCCATCCACCTTTCAAAGATTATGAATGATACTTTTTTGAACATGGATTGCACACATTGCTGTATTAAGTAGGAATTTTATGCCTCGCTTCAGGATCATTTATTTTATTCATTTATGGTTTTAACACAGGGTCTCACCCTGTAGCCTAGGCTGGTCTCTGACCTTGCCATCCTCCTGCCCCAGCACCCTGAGTGCTTAGATTATAGGTTGAGACCATCTGCCTGATCCCATTCTGGTTTGAATTGTATATTTCTAATGACTACCGATGGATGAATGTCATTTCATGTATCCATTGGATACCTGAATATTTTCTGAGAAACTTTTGTTGCTATTGTGGTTATTGTTCTTTAATGTCAATTCCTTCCTAGATACATGATTCTTGAAATTTCCTTTCCATTTACTGGGCTGTCCTTACAACTCTCTTGAGAGTGTCTTGTCCCATAATGTAAAATCATTTTGATAAATCGTTACTTTTTCTCTAGGATGGCCTCAAACTTACTGTGTAATCAAGGACAACAATGACGTTCTTCCTCTTCTTCCTAAGTGCTGAAATTATAGGTATGTGCCATCATTTCTGGTTTTACATGGTACCGGGGATGAAACACAGGACTTTGGGACTGCTTAACAGGCACTGGAGCTATATACATCCTCAGCCCTTCCTTTCTAGTTTCAATAATCTTGGCTACCTTTTTGTTAATTTTGGTGTGAGAGACCCAGTTAAAGCCATCTCACCTGGTGTCAGGGTCCAGGGCTTGACTACTTGGTTGGGTTATCCTCTAAGACTTTAGCCTCCTGGCTTTTGTGTCAGGTATTTGCACTGTGCCTAGTACTATTCAGCTGTGCAGTCCAGGCTGGACATGAACTCAAGACTCTAGTGGCTTCAGCCTCTTAAATGCTGGTGTGTGCTAGTAAGCCTAGTTGTGGCCTGTGCATTTTGTTCATCGTCCTAGCATCTCTTTCTAGGGTGCTGTTGGCTCATTTTGGATATTTAAAGAGCTTAGTATCTCACTTGTACTTGGCAGAGTTCCAATGTGAGCAGCTTACTTACCCCTGGACATATATCCTGTGTATAAAATCATCTGCTGAAAGCCTTTCCAGGGTTGTTGTAGATTTCTTGCAATCACAGACTCTCTAAGTTCGGAAGGGGACTTTTCTGGCTCATAGATAATCTACAGGAATATCCTTGGGGGGCTGGGGAAATGGTTTCCAGTACAGCTCTATGGTTGAGGGCCAGAGTCTCCTGCATTTACCTCATTGGGCAATGAAATTGTCTGGGCCAGTATCTACCACTAAAGACAAAACTAGATCTTTTAGTTTTATGTACGTGTGTGTGTGTGTGTGTGTCTGTGTGTGTCTGTGTGTTTTTATCGATCATACTATCCTTGAACTCAGAGATCCACCTACCTCTGTTTCCAGACAGCTGAGATTAAAGGCAAGCACCATCACACTCAACTAGTTTTAGATTTGAATGAAGTAGACTCTACAAAGTAATTTGCCTAGAGAGTCACTGAGCACTCCCTGTTGGTGTCTGAAGATCACTTTCACATTCCATGTAAAGACTTAAGGTTCTGGGTAGCAGAAGTGGCTCCCAAAGGCTTGGCCCTGGCAGCTCTACAGTTTACTTTCTCTTTGAGGTGAAATCAAGATGGCGGGCAGATTCACAGTTCAAACTCTGCTCTCTGCTGGTCCGGGATGGCACTTTCGCCTCCTCCAAGTTTCCAGTTTCATTCAGGGGCTGTAGGGCTATGAGGTGTTTCATTCCAGGGAGCTTAGTTTGCTCAGCTCTGAGCTTGGTTAGCTCTCATCAGAAACAGACCACCTACCTGTAGCTGAATGGAGGAAACCCAGCCCTTCTGGATGTCTCCTGGGCATGAAATACCTGTTCAGTTCTTATGCTGTCACATGCTTGACATTCCACACTTGGTCCAAATTGCTACCTATCTGCCTTCCAGAGAGGGACCCAGTTTATCCCTAGACCCTATTCATTTGGCTATTGCTTCAGGACTGGAGCCTAGGCTTTCACACCTGGGTTCTGGCTGGAGACCTGTCCTGATGGTGAGAGACAATCAACTGTCCTTAATTGTCCCCATGGGTTAGAAGGCAAAAGAGCAGAGCATCATGGGTGAGATACTGGTCTTCAGTTAACCCAGGGTTGCTCTGAGTGTGCCTTTTACCCCTTCAAACTCAGGTCTTTTCTGGGCTTATTTTCCCCATCTGTAAAACTAGAAAAGAAAGTTAGCCTGGCAGTGAGTCGGATGAGATTCCAAGCACTTAGCATGTGCCTTCCAACCCAGAAGGTAAGCATTCAATAAGCACTGACCATTGGCACCCTTCTTGTCTTTGAGTCCCAGGCTATGCTTACTGGGGTCTGTGCTGATGGTAAAGAGAATTTACTTTATCTTTGCTGAATAAGGAAGTGCTTTCAGCCGGGCGGTGGTGGCGCACACCTTTAATCCCAGCACTTGGGAGGCAGAGGCAGGTGGATTTCTGAGTTCGAGAGTTCGAGGCTAGCCTGGTCTACAGAGTGAGTTCCAGGACAGCCAGGGCTACACAGAGAAACCCTGTCTCGAAAAACCAAAAAAAAAAAAAAAAGGAAGTGCTTTCAGGACTGAATGCTCTGTAAATCCTGCCCGTTAACTTCGCTAACTTCCGTTTCCCCCTTCCTGGCCCTTAAATCCAGATCCAGGAAGTTGAGTCTTGTGTGTAGAATGAAATCAACCACTTACCTTCCCCTTTGACCTCCATCTCCTCACTATCAACTCACGTCAGTGTGCACAAGAAGTGGCTGTAGGTTGATGTTGCTTCTCCCATTCTAAAGGTGGGGAAGTGGAGGCAGGGGCCCTAGATAACTTCCCAAGGCAAGTCATCAGCTGAGCTAGAGCCAGAGCCAGAGCCAGAGCCAACATTTGTAGTCAGGTGCCTCGATTTAAAGTTTATGTGTTTTCATTGGTCTGCTCTCATGTCTTGAGGCCATCTCTGTCTCTGGAGCTCTAGGACTCAGATTAATGTCGCCAGCACAGAGCACCTCTGGGCATCAGCCACTTTATCCTGGTGCCTGGGGCAGGGTGTGCTGTGCAATCAAGGAGGCCCTTTGAGGTGAGCTGAAACATCAAGACTGGGTTGGAAGTTTGCAGATCCTATCAGCTGTCCTCTGGCAACTCCCAGTGCACATTCTGCATTTTTGTGGAAAGACACCAGGTGCTGGTGTAAATGGAGGGCTTGTTTGGGATTTGAGACTCTTTGCCTTTTGTAGAGATGCCCCTCTTTTGGTGGCTTCCATGAGTTCTTGTCTCTTCCAGTTCAGATTCTGAAGCATGCGCCTGAGTTTAGAAGGACTCATGGGTGAACCACTCATAATCAACCTTGTCTTGATCCTTGAGGACAAAGAGAGGACTTTGTGCTGCCTGGGATTTTAGGCAGAGTGAGTTGGACTGGTAGTAGGCTCATGCCAGTAACTCCTGTAGGCCACGGGCAAAGGGATTGTACATACCCTCTATTGCACACTTCAGATAGCAAAGTTACTTCCTTTCTTCATATATACAGTGTAGATTCTATGGAGGAAAGGCTCCTTATAAGAGCAAGACCTGGAACAAGCTTCCATAGAGGAATGTTTATAATCTTGATCTTGAAATCCTAGATTGCTCTTAGACACCACAGCTGTAGCTCTCTATGACCTGAGCCTTGACTAAGATTAAACTTTGATCAAGGAGGACTGCCTAGATTTGCATGGACCTTATTCACATGGCCGAGATTCGCACTAACCTCCTGGAACTGCACACTGGTGAGATTTCAATACTCCAACCACTATCCTGTTTCCTGCCCTGCTGCAGTGCTTGAGAAACTGATAAAGTATTCTTTCTGTTCTGGTTTCAAGGATGGATTAATTCACTTGGTACCCCTTCATTTCTATCATAGTAGACATGGCTAGACCCTTACAATTCTCACCGTTGGTGAGAATCATAAATCATGCTTTCTAAGGATAAGCAGTCTGCCCAGCTGTGACGAGTAGAAGCTTCCAGATGCTCTACTGCTGGGCAGCAGAAAAGGATTCATGATGGAATCTCCTTAAAAGCTGATATACAAGGCGGGCCATTAAGTTTCAGTGGCTTGCCATTCTTTCCCAGGGGAACTAGCCCTTGGATCTCTCTACAGGCAAGGAAGCAGCATTTCAAAGAGAGGCTTCTTAGAGAGCTTGAAGAAGCACTGTCCAGGGTATTCTGAAGGGGCTGAACAAATGTTAGGTTTGTTAGCTTCAACCACTCATACAGGTTGACATGAACCCAACAGTGGAAGAAAATAGAGATATCCAGGTCACCATCATGTCAGCCTAGAGATACCGAAGCCCAGGGAGGTTGGGTTAGTTTAACAGTAGCTAAAATTCTGTTGCTCAGCCTGGTGACCACAGTCTCATGTGGCTGTGGAGCTTCTAAGATAATTCTCATCGTAGATCTGAATTGAACAAAGCTATGGAAGTAAAATATACACAGCATTTTGTAGACTTAGAAAAAATACAGGTATCTCTTTTTTTATTTTAAACATTGATTACATGTTGAAATGAGATTTGCATGTTCTGGAAAAGGTGAAATATACTGACAAAACTAATTTTACCTGCATATTTATTACTGTTTTTTTTAATGTAGCCATTATAAAAATTAAGTTATATATGTGGCATGCATTATATATCTATTGGATACTGGCAAGCAAGACTGATACCATACAGAACATCAGTTTTGTAGTATATGCCTTGCACGACCCTTTATTGCAGACCTGGCAGGTCCACATCAGGTTGCCTGGGTTGGAGATGTGGCTCTGACAGTATTCTGGGGTGGTCTTGGTTCGGAGGTTTACATTTCATTCATTCATATGCAAAGTTAGTATGGTGGTAGTACCTGCCCCATAGACTTGTAAAGGTTACAGGGTATAATTCATGGAAAGTATTTAGAGTAGAGCCAGCCTGTCAACTCAGTGAGTTTTAGCTGTCTTAGTGATTATTTTGGTGGCTACTGACTTCAAACCCGAAGATACATGAAAGGAAAGATCTAATATATTGGGATCAGACAAGGAGAAAAAGACAAGGAACCAATGCAGTGGCTGGCAAGGCGGCTGATAGACCTAGCTCTCTGGAGGTGGCTTTAGCTACATAGTAAGTTCAAGGCTCTGTGGTGCAACAAGAGGGACGGCCTCAAACAAAACAAAACAAAATACAAAACAAAAATCAAACAACAGAGCAGTGTATAATGCTTCTCCAGAGCATAGTGATATTTAGCGGTAGTAAGGCTGAGCCTATGGGGCAAGTAGGGAGTTTGGACAGCTTAGTTCGGGTAGGTGGTGTCTGGCCCACTCTCCTATTGCAGTGCTTGTGTGCCAGGAACCTTTGGTTTACTTAATAATGGCCCTGAAGTAGAACCATAATGTTGCAATTTGGATGTGCCACAAGATAGGCGTGAAGTGCTTATTTTTGGTGCAAAGGTGAAAAGAAAATTGCACACCGAAGTTGCTAAGCTCTGGTAGAGTTATTATTAGTCTCCCATCATGTCTGATGAATGTGTATACATTCA